AGGGGTTTCGCTTATGACGTGCTAGCAGAGGCGCACGAAGCGGTGGTGGAGCGCAATGTTTGGTTGCGTATTGAAAGACACCGAGCGGTGGAAGATGGCTTTATTATTATCCATCGATCGGTCACGCAAAGACGAAAAGTGCAAGCAAGAGAGAGCGCGATGCGCATGACGCATCGCTTTGCAAGGAGAGAGGAGTATTAATATCCATCGCCCTTCACGTAACATGAAGCGCGAGAGAGAGCGCTCGAGAGAGAGCTGCGGGGGCCACACGCGGTTATCTATGCTCGGCGTCAAGATCTGTGGCGCCGTGGTACCGGTCACATCAACGTCACCTAGGATGTTCTACTATGCTCGGCCAGGCACCTCGACACCAAAATCTGTGACGCCGAGACGTGTTACTTCAGCGCCATGAGTCTTGACGTCGACCCTTAGGGTCAAAGATGAGTTTAAGTCTCTTATGAGCCAAACGTAAATTTTGTTAAAAAAAGGGTTTAAATTGTAAAAAATGGGGCTCGTGCATCCTCTTTCTCGTCCGCCATGGACGCTGCCTGAGCTCCGCCGGGACGGCGATTTCAGCGACCAATCTTGAATCCAAGAGTATGGGAAGGAAGAGGAGAGGTAGGGGATGCATGGAGGCTACCCACCTCGGTCTATTGCTGCTTCAAGGACGAGATCGACTCCGCGAACTTCACCTCGGGAGAGAGAAGATGAGAGAGAGGATTTGTGAACTGGAGAAGGAGACAACGGTGGCGCGTCACGGCGTCACGAAGGAGGCTGTGGGCGTCGCCTTTTATAGGCCGGGGAAGCGGGAGCTGTGCCACCGGCTACCGGCTCGCCATGAATGGCGTTGCTATGGCCGGACGACGGGCAAGCAGGCGAAGTGATGGTGCGACAGAGGTGGGTGGAGCAGGGCGACGTGCATGCTTCTGGCGGTGCTGAAGCGGGTGGCGATGGCTGTCTCCTTTGCGTGCCGTGATGTCCTAGGCTTTAATGCGTGTTGTACCTGTGTGCTCTGTGCAGGAGGAACAAGGAGAGCGTGGGAGGTGAGACTGGACGGCACGTTTGCGGGTACGGAGTTACTGCTGGGGCGTGAAAGTGCTGCTGGGCCGTGTGTGCTTGCTTTGGGCCTTGTTTAGATACCCTCAAAATTCTAAGTTTTTTCACTCTCTTTTCATCACATCAATTTTTAGCCATTTGCATGGAGCATTAAATGTAGGTAAAAAAATAACTAATTGCACAGTTTAGTTGGAAATCACGAGATGAATCTTTTGAGCTTACTTGGTCCACGATTGGACAATATTTACCGAATAAGACGAAAGTGCTACTATTTATCGGGTTGAATTTTTTTTCAATCTAAACAAGGCCTTGCTGCTTGATTCAGTAGGAGGGAGAGGAGAGAAGGAGGTGGGAGGTGGGGCCCACGGTGTCGTGGTGGTGCAGGGGGCACTGTGGTCGGTGAGGGGGTCCGGGCACGGATGCGCCGCGGCGGTGGTGGTGGGGTCGGCGCATGTGCGAGAGAAAGAGGTGGGGGACGGTCAAAGATATTATTGTTGCGATATGCAGGATAAATATTTGGACAAGAAAAATGACATATAAATATAAGGTAGATTTGAGTAGGGAGGGAATTTAAAATAGAGCTCACATGACTTTGGTTTTCAAAATAGATTTTGAAAATATTTTTGAACGAGTGATTTTTAAGAACTGAATTTTTGGGATGTTATAGGTGGCGACTGGACAGTCGGGTGGGGCGGATGTAGTAACGACGATGACCAAAGAGGAAACCCTGGGGGCAACCGGTGGGATGGAGAACATGAGGGGAATGGTGGGGAACGACATTGGGGGAGGTGGACAGGGCTGAGATGCAGGTCCTCCTTGGCGCGGCGGCGGCCCAGCCCATCCTAGAGCCCCTATGGAGAGGTGGTGCCCGTGGGTGGTTAGCCGGAGAGGTGCACGCCGAGGGTGGAGGCCTGGGCCTTAGGAGCGTCGGACGAGGCAGATGCAGTAGCAACGATGACCAGAAAACGGAGCCTTGGTTGCGACCGGTAATACGACGAACGTGAGACGAGTGAAGAGGGTGGGGAGCGGCATGGGGGGAGGTAGAGAGGGCCGAGGCGCTGGTGTTCGACGACGGCAACGGTGGAGACGGTGACAGCGGCGGCTAGGGAAACCCTAGGTGGGTGCCCCCCTCCCCCGCGTCGCCGTCGCGACTTCATCCGCGCGTGTGGGGTTCTAGCCTCTGTGACTCATCATTTTAGGAAGACAAATGTCATTTCATATGCTTCATATGAAGCATACGAGCTGGATAATCCCGATTTAACCGTTAGATAAGCTACAGTAATATATTAGATATAGGCCCCGTTTGTCTCGCTGAAAAAACAAGCCGAAACACTGTTCCGCTGATTTGTTGTGAGAGAAAAACACTGTTTCGGCTGAAAAAACAAGCTGAAAAAGTACGGATTATAAGACAAGCGAACAAGGCCTATATTCCGTCGGCAATCAGATTATTTTTTAAAAGATCTAGAAACATACTGTTCCAATATATATTAATAAGAAGAGAATTGACTCAGCTTATATGAAAAACTAGACCCAAAAACCATACAACATGCAACCAGTACTTACATACTACAATTACATGCTGCATACAACTATAACAAGCGACGGAGCTCGTCAATGCACCAAGATGCCACCGAAGTCGAAAATGATTAGACAAAACAGCCTCCGGCCAGGCGTGCAATCCAATGCAAGGCCCTTGAACACGATCTGACTGTTTGCGATTAGAGATACGGTTAAGAACACCAATTAAGATCAGATAGATGGGACTCAGATTCAGTTCCTCTGCCACCTCTCCTTATCCAATGTCCAATCCTGATCCAACAGCTCCCAAGACCTAGCTCGCTCCAACAGTGCCGACCGTCGCTGTTTATAGAAGCGCTCGCTTTTCGGAGCCCAAGCAAACGCAGCTGCCATCGGCTTTGGTATGAGAAAACGCCCATCACAACCAAGTTTTTTGTCGAAACATCGAACAGGTGCACTATTTGTACAGCAGCTATGTAACAATGATGGACTGATCCAAGGAAGGAACCCAACGTTTAAAACAATCAACATCAGGCCCAAATGTGTATTCACTCTCTCTATTCTTTAATTTTTTTTTTCCGAGAACACGTCCATTGACGTGTGTTTCATTAAGAGGAATCTCTCCATTCTTAATGTGTACCCATGAAGAATTCATGCCCTTCCGGCCTTCCCTTCCCTGCTGGACGCATGCCCATGTGCCTCCACTATTGCTAGCTCAATACAAGTTCAGTAAGCACAAAACTGCACCACCAAAGCAGACCAACAAAGGCAGTAGCAACCTATGGAAATTAAAACGACCAACGAGATGATTGGGAGTGATAGAATGTCGCTGCCACCCCAAGCCCACCATGAAGCTGCAGAAAATCATACCTTGTACACGAACTCTGGGAATACCAGCTAGCAATTTTTTTTCTCGAACCGAGGATTTCTCCATTTCCATTACTGAATAACGGAAATGCGTCAGAGTTTTAGACGTTTCAGAAAGCAAAAAGAGTGGCCAGAACAAGCCTGCGGAACTAACAGAAAAGAAGGCCAACAGTTTCCAACAGCTACCAAGCAAGCAAACTGGAAGCACAATCTCAGCTTGCAACCAACCACCAACAACAAAAGTTTGAGACATAAGGACTATCACTCTCGCTGTCTTCTACTCGCAGGGTCTTGGTCAGCAATACCAGCTAGCATAAGCCTTCAGTCAGAATTCAGTCCCTTCTCTGGGAAACAATTCTTTGCCTAAAGTTTTTCCCATTTGATATGATAATTAACTTTCTAATGTGGCTAATCTTCATAAGTTCTTCCATGCATTCATTTGCAATCTCTGTAAGCTCAACTGCAGTATTTTCCAAACGTAATTCATCAAGGATAGTAAGATACTCGATGCCTTCAGGGAGGCGGTTCAGTTCTGCGCACTCTACAAACCATAGCTTAACAAGGCTTCCCATTGCATCTTCTTCTATTTCAACTTGGTTGAGCTGCGGAGAATGATTGAGAAGAGAAGCGTAATTTCTTTCCGTCATAAGCCTTATAAAGGGTAATTAAACATAAACTATGCAACACCACGAGGCTAGGAAATGAACCCTCGTCAAGTTTGGAGGACATCAGATACAGTTGAGTGAGGTTGTTAAGGCACAACCAGGATGACAAAATATGATGCATCTGTTTCTTTTCCAGCTGCCCTGTCAGTCCAAGTTTACAAAGAGTTTCTGGTAAAAAGAGTTCTTCCAGTGGCAATGCTTCATTTTCGTTTGACATAGTAATTGACAAACTGACAAGATTGCTCATCTTCAGGAGGGCATGTCGCAAGTTTAACAAGTGTCCACTTGTCACATCAACTGAAAATGTCCGTAACTCTATCAAAGCTGCAATGTCACATAGAATCTCTGAGCTAGCTTTAACATTTTGCAGAGCATGCAGTCCTGTCAGGTTCTTTATGCCCCTAGGCACCTTCACTCCACAATGACCTTTACAGTTGCATATAGGTATCTAAGCTTCTTTAGTTTAGCTACATCATTTGGTAAAAATAGCAGACAAGTACACCATGTATCCAGTACTTCTAAATTTACTAATCTTCCAATGGTCTCTGGCAGAATCTCAATTTCAGTATTTCGAAGACCCAAGAAACGCAGATTAACCAAGCTAAAGATCTCATTAGGTAACACCTTGATTTCAGTACCTTGCAGATCCAAGGTTGACAATAAAATTGAAGATGCAAGGATAGGACTCAACAGATCAATAACAACAGAACTCGTAAAAACATGTACTGCACAGAGATGTATCGCACTTGATAGATTTAACAGTTCGATGTTAGTGCTCTGTATTGACAGTCTACGTGTTCGATGTACCAAAATCATTTCATGGCCCTCATAAACTTTACCGAAGCATTCTTTCTCTGCTTTGTCAATGGCAAGATGACGGATGACATCATGCATTCAGCAACATTTCACTCGTCCAAACTCATTGTTCATCACAACTTGTAGTAGGCTTCGGTTCACAAGATCATTCAAGTATCCCTCTGCCACTTGTTCTAGTGTTTTATTCTCCTTTTCCTTGATGAATCCAGAAGTAATCCAATGCCTGACTAACCTCCTCTTCATTTCATAATCCTCAGGAAATAGTGCACAATGTAAGAAACAATTCTTCAATTCATATGGAAGATCCTCCAAGCTGATTTTCAGAATGGAATCAACACCAGGGATTGTATTTGTAACCGACTGCAGCTCTAACTTCTCATACAAACTTTTACATTCAGTGTATGTTGGGGGTTTGCAGGACAATAGGCGGCCTATCCATGCAATCGCAATAGGCAAACCTTCACACTTTTGTAAGAACTTTGTGGCCAAATCCCATAATTCTTCAGGACACCTTTTATCATCATTGTTCCAAAAAGCTAACTTGCAAAATAACATATAAGAGTGATGGTCTTGCAGCGGTTCCAGCTTAATTGCACAATTACCACTTGCCAAAGATGCAACTTCAGATAATCTTGATGTGAGAACAAATCGGCTAGTACATTTAGCCGGAAACACAGGCATGATATTGTTTATCCACACATCTTGTTCCCACACATCATCCAACACCAAGATGTACTTTTTACCTTCGAGATGTTTACAGATGACCTCAACTAATCTTCTCATATCCATAATGCTAGAATCGATTGGCATGCCGAACTCTGTAGCAATTTTCTTCAGCAAATCCTCAACTTTATAACTCTTAGACACAGTTACCCATGCAGCAGCATCAAAATCCACTTTTACAATCTTATAGACATGATGAACTAAAGTAGTTTTACCTACTCCACCCATCCCCCAAACTGTGGTGATTTTGGTGTTCCTTTCATCCAAATCACCAACCAGCCACCCCTTGAGCTTGGTTGCATTATCTTCAATACCCACTAATTCCTCTTCCCTTGCAAAACACAAAGCTTGATTGGTGGATCTGGTATGATGGTCACCGCTTCCAGCATGTCTCTCCATTCCTGGGATGATATAGCGGTCCCTCCTTTTCACAGTCTCTTCAAGCTCAACATTGATATCACGGAGCTCAAGACCTAGGCGGCGCCAGATCTTGACATGTTTGATCCTCTTCTTCATCCTAGATGCAAACCCTCCGTGTTTGTCACCCTCAAACCTGTACATGAACTCATCAACAACATCCTCAATCCGGAAGGATAGTTCCCGGATATTCTTGATGAAGATGCCTGTGGTCTCATCAGTATCCATGAACTTCTCTGACTCACGAAGGTATGCCTTCATGCTCTCCAACTCCCTCTCAGCTCTACAGATCTCGCCAAAAAGACCCTTTATGGCAGAAGCCTCCTTGTAAAGCAGGGATGCACCGTAGGTTGCTGCTTCTTTCGCCAATGCTGTACCTAGCTTGCCAATCAGTGCTCCCACAACAGTCTCTGCCATGGTGATTGCGTGCGCTTGCTTGAGTGCTTGGAGTCAGAACTGTAACTGTGTGAGCAAGCTTGTGACCTCCGAACCTAAATCTCACAAATCAGATCAATCTTTAGAATTTGGTTTCTGGTCAACAGTCTGAACATTGGAACCAACATTGAACAAACTGTAAACTGACGAAATTTGATACCTGAATATGGGGATTTGTGGAAGGTGGAAATTCCAAGCATGCGGTGCAGATCTGGCCGTGCTAAAGCCACTGGTTAATGACGGTGGAGTGGGAGCAGTTGCAATCTGGGAGCAAGGATGCTGCAAGGCCCATGAACAGCGACCAACGAAGAACGAACTTTGGACCAACAAGAGAGATGGTTTTGGCTCCTTGCAGCTTCGTGGAAGGACCAGCGAATAAACAAGTGACCGTTCAGAATGGCTATCTGACTTTGATAAAAGCAAAGTCAGAGATGAAGATTGCTGACTTCGCGAGCCCATATCTGTGGACCTGACCACGTTCAGGACTTGTCTGCAAAACAAGTGCGCGCAGCGGAATTATACGGGATTATCCAGATGACTGAAGTCTTAAGGTTTCAATGAATATCCCATACAACGTCAAACGGCTCTGGACGAGAAAACGAGCACTAGCACATCGGATATTCTTTCTTCTTTTATTTTTTTCAGAAGCACACCAGAGAATAGCAGTAAGCTGTGAGACCAAAGGAGTGGAGACACTCAAGATGCTGAAAAATTCAGCAAGTAGCAGCCTGAACGCAGCGCCGGTCCTAAGATTTTTTGGACCTAGAACGAAGCTAAAATTCTGGGCCTTTTGATATAACCATGATAATAGTACTAGTACTATCCATTGGTAACATATATACACACATATACAAAATATCACTAATAAGCAGTTAACAGAATGCAAAAGTAATATTCATATGAAATAATGTATATACATATTAAATTACCTCAAAAATTTCTTCTAACATTCCTTAATGCGAAATCATCGATGATGGTGTCAATATCAATCTCAACCAACAATCGCTTCTCAATGCACAATGTAGGGATTGAAACAATTAGTAACTATAATTTCATAAAGTAGGGATCGAAACAATTAGTAACTAAATTTCAGATTCCTACCCTACCTTGCTGGTTGCTACCGCCTGGCGCCTGCCTCCTCGGCTGGAACTGCCGATTGTTGCACAGGGAATCAGGGATCGGATCACGTAAGAGGTGAGATTAGGGCCCTTGTGAGGTGTCGCTCTGCTCTGCTGGAAGTGGACGCCGCGTCGCCGCCAGGTGCCATGCGCCCACGCAGGAAAGGAAAGGCCGAAGGTCATGTACTCGCATGACTCCAGGCTCGCGTCTCGCGCGCCGTGATCACAGTAGTCGAGGAGTTGGGGATCTGGCTACTGGCGTCTACGTATTACTAGTGTATACATACATGGGTTGGGGCCCATCGAAGACCTGGGCCTGCCTGAACGTCGGCGAGCGTCTCCTCCGCGGTCGAACTCTCCGTTGTATTCGCCTTGACATAATCGCCTGCACATCACACAACCATGAGAAACAGATCTTTGGAATTGCAGGGGTTCCGTCCGTGCGAGGCCCACCTGCTCGTCGGAGAGCCTGCGGAGCGGCAGCTCGAGCGCGGCAGGAGGCATTCGCACCCATGTGCTGGTGCTGCATAGGTCAATTGAAGAACCCGCCTTGTTGGCTGCGGGACCGGTGGTGGTAGGAGGCGACGGCTGCGGCCTGCGGGTCAGGAGATACCATAACATGCGGCGGGTTTAGGATGGGGATGGGGCTGAATCGGCCGGAGGTGGTTTTGGATCCACTCATTCAGAGGGGCCGAGGGGCGGAGAGAATAGAGCAACGCAGAACAGAGGTAACCGAAGAGGCGGAGGAGAGCGATGCGGTGGCCATGGAAGCTCGGAGCTCGGAGGAGAGGAAGAGCTCACATAGTCAAATGTGGATGTGGGTCCTCCTCCAGTTGTGGTTTGTGTCTCTTACACTGCGACCCTACATGCAAGGGACAAGGGGGGCAGTGGGTTGTCGCTAGCGAGTACTGTGATGGCCAAACAGTGAAAGAGAACTCTGTTGTCAGATCCTTAACAAGGCCCTGTTTGTTGATAACTAGCTTTGCCATAACTAAGGTTAGATAAAAGCACGATAAGTTTGGCACCAAAATAGGTCTCTGACATATGGTGCATATGGCTAAGAACAGGGCCGCAAATGGTACAAATATTTTGTAACCAACCGAAGGGTAACCGTATGAAAATCCTTGTATTTGAATCCGCACATTTATTATCTATACCCTATCCATATCCGAAAACTTAAATGTACCTATCGGTATTCACATATGTAGGTATGCGACCGTATCCGATCCGTTTACACCCTTATTGTCGGTGTTTCGGGCCGGGGGTCCTCAACCAACCAGTGAATTTGAACTGCGTGCTCCTAATCTCGGGTGGTGGTGCAAAGAGACACAAGGTTTATACTGGTTCAGGCAATTGGTGCCCTACGTCCAGTCTGAGAGATCGATCTTGTATTCCTTGCACCGAAGTGCTTGTAGTAGGGGGTTACAAGCTGGGTGAGAGAGAGAGCTGGTCCCAGGTCTCGGCGTGGAGCGGTGCGAACTGCTTGAGACGTTGCTCTCAGGCAGCCTAGAAGAGCGTGTGTCTATGTGAGCCTATCTCCATAGGCTCGTGTGTCTATCTTAAGAACGGCCCCGGTCTCCCCTTTTATAGTTGAAGGAGGGACAGGGGTGATACATATGTTCATCATGTGGTGAGGAGAGGTGGCGTGCCGGAGTCCTGTAGCTTACTTACTGTAGCGGCATGGTCAACGGAGTGGTCTTGTCCTTGATGTACTGGAGCAACGCGCCGGTCACATCTGATTTCGTATGACGTGGGCGCTCCAGTGACAGCTTGATGCAGGGTATGGCCGGCTATGTGCTGGTCGCTGTGGGTTGACGGTGAAAAGAGCCGAGGCTCAGTTGTTGCCGAGGCCGAGCCATCGTGGGGGGCTCGACGGGCGCGAATCCCGAGGCTGTCGAGACCTGGAAGTGGATTGCCGAGGCTTTGGAGGGAGCAGTTGGTCTCATGCACGGATTCCGAGGCTACAGTGACCTGTGCCTGCTTCCCCACGCAGCGCTGCTCCTGGAGCAGGAATTAGGTAGCACAGTGTAGTACGGGCGCCAGTCATGGGTGCAGTGCTGAGTACAGTGGCCAGTAACCCCTGTGTCGTCCTGTCTCACGTCCCGTCGGCCACCCTGCTGTACTGTGCCCACGTGTGGCTAACGTCGTGGGAGTGGTTGGACGCGTGACATTTTGTTAGAGGAGTCCGTCGGGGCGGAGGCGACGAGGTTGTTTGTCGAGCCGGCCTCGGGCGAGTCGGAGAATTGGCTTTTCGTCCGAGGCTTTCACTCGCGGGGCCTCGGGCGAATCGGAGAATCGGTATCCCGTCCGAGGCCTTGCGAGGCAGGGCCTCGGCGAGAGGGCCTTGGCGAGAGGGCCTCGGCGAGAGGGCCTCGGTGGGGCGCTTTTGGCCTTTCGTCTGAGGCCTCGGCGCAAGGCCTCGGGCGAATTGGAGAATCTGCCGAGACCTTGCGGTTGTTTTTTGACTTTGATTTTTGCGAGGCTTAAGCGATATTTTTGGTTCTTGCTTAGGGTACCCCTTCTTGTGGTATCCGACAGTAGCCCCCGAGCCTCGGGAGGAGTGTGGGCACTCTCCTGAGGTTTTGTCGAGACTTGGCTCGCAACAGCTCCTGTCGGGATCGTGTTTTGTATTTAGTGGTTCCGGTGGGTGTAGCCCCCGAGGCTCTAGAGGAGTGGGTTTACTCCTCCAGGGGCTTTTTTCTCCATTGAGCAAGGAGTTTTATCATGTTTGCCGGGCCCATGAGTGCGAGTTTGGGTCGCTGGGACTTAGCCTAGTGCAGGAAGAACCCCCGAGCCTCCGCACGGAGCGAGAGGGCGATCAGCGATTTCCCTGTCTTCTTTGATGGCCCTCGCGCATCCTTTTCGCTCAGAAGGAGGGGTTTGTTTACCGAGCCCCCTCGGGTGCGAGCCTAGGTCGCTGGGTCTCGACAAGGTTTGCAGGGAGAGCCCCCGAGTCTCTGCACGGAGGGAGAGGGCGGTCAGGAGTTCCCCTGGCTTTTTATGCGACCCTCGCGCATCCTTTTCACTCGGAAGGAGGGGTGGAATATACCAGGCTACCCTCGGTGGGCGCGAGCGGTGGCACTTCCGGTGAGCTGCTATCGGGTAAGTCCGAGTGGAGGCCCGTGCCCCATTCGATAGGGGTCGGCTAGTGGTCCAGAGACGCACTCCAAAAGTACCAAAGGGCTTCTCTATTGGGTCCCAGGGCCGTTCGATTGGCCCTGGGGGCTCGGCGCTTCCCTACGGTGGGATCCCATTCAGAGAACTCCCTGCTGGTCTCGGACATGACTTAGGGCATCCCGAGCGATCGCTTGCTCGGGCCTCGGCCATGTACGGGCTCGCCCATATTTGTCCCTGACTCTGTTGTCCTGGGGCGGCTGTCGAAACCCTCGGGGGTCTAGCCTTCGAACCCCTGGACCGTAACGGGCTCAACGCCCTTTTTGTCGTGTTTTTCCGAATCTATGAGTGCGAGCTTGGGTGGCTTGCTTTCATCTTGGGTGCAGGAAGAGCCCCTGAGCCTCTGCACGGAGCGAGAGGGCGGTCAGGAGTTCCCCTGGCTTTTTATGCGACCCTCGCGTATCCTTTTCGCTCGGAAGGAGGGGGTTGTTTGCCGAGCCCCCTCGAGTGCGAGCCTAGGTCGCTGGGTCTTGGCAAGGTTTCTAGGGGGAGCCCCCGAGCCTCTACACGGAGTGAGAGGGCGGTCAGGAGTTCCCCTAGCTTTTCATGCAACCCTCGCGCATCCTTTTCGCTCGGAAGGAGGGGGTTGTTTGCCGAGCCCCCTCGGGTGCGAGCCTAGGTCGCTGGGCCTCGGCAAGGTTTGTAGGTAGAGCCCCCAAGTCTCCGCACAGAGGGAGAGGGCGGTCGGGA